AAACAAAATTTCATAAAAAAAAAAAGTTCAAATCACAAATCGCTAAGCAAAAAACAATAATAATGCCTAAATTTTAAAAAGAAGATAACCTAGAAATGGAATGGCTGTCAAAAGAAGGTTGGAAAGATCGCATTAAAGAAAACAGAAAGGAAATATGATTTGAGAGATTCAGGGAGGATGTAAAGGACAATTAATGGAAGATTTACAAATGAAGCATTTAATGTATGGTTTTCACATTTTATGAAAACACCAGGATTCTGCATTAAACACTACAAATGAATACTGAGAAAACAGAAGAATTATACAACAATAGAGTTACAGATTATGGAATCATAGATGTCAGGAAAAAGTGACAACTGTAAAAGTGTACCCCATTGCTTGCTTCAAGTAAATCAGATGATCTATACGACTTCAACTAACAAGATTAAGGCAATTGTAAGTAATTCAGAAAAAATTAATGAATATCTACAGTGGAAAAAATTGTTTTACGAAGTTATCAGCCCATTCGTGTGTGAAAATGCAACAATATAAATAGTGAGTATATTGAAACGCATAAAAAATTAGAAGAGATTAATGACATTAGGGAATTAATAACAAAGTGAATTGAAAATCAATTTAGAAAAATTATCAGAAAAGAACATTATTTTCTTTTTTCCTCAGACAAACCATGAAAAACAAACAGCAAAAAAGACTGAGCAATGACAAAACGGACACACACAAACATATAATTACATTCAAATACACACATACACGGCACAAAAGTTGTCTAGTTTTATATGCATTTAAAACATGGCAATGAAACAGAATGATGTATAATATACAAAGGAAAATTTATAATTTAATAGTTGAATTCAAGAATCAATTATTGCTAGACCATCACGAAAAACTTGAAAGCATTGAACAGCCGATTCGTCCTAGTATGGGACTCATGGGCAGGGCGTATCCACAATCCTGCTCGTAGTATTCGACTGGCTTCAATAGGTATTTCCTGGAGATCTAGTGAGAAGCTGTGATCAGTGGTGTTCAACCGGGTATGCTGTGCGATAGTAACTCATTGAAAACAATGGTGGACGGTAGCGCAATTTCGTGGATTGGTTGAAGTCAGACATTAACACCGTTAGATGTAGACTCAGTGGTCTAGAGGTTAAGCGTTCGAGCACGAGACCGATAGGTCCTGCGTTTGAACCCCGCAGGCGGGATCGTGGATGTGAACTGCCGAGGAGCCTCATACTAGGATGAAACGGCCGTCCAGTGCTTCCAGGCTGTCCATAGTGGTCTAGCTTTTATTAATTCATGAATTCAACTATTAAATTACTAAAATCTCCACAAAACCCCCTTCTGATAAAATTTATAGTTGACAATTAGCATAATCATTCAGCTATGAACGAAGGCAGAGAGAACGATGGACGAAAGTAAGCAATAAATACGATTAGGAAAATTCTTTATTTTATGTGTTATAATAAGAAATAACAAAAAGAAATTCACCATGCGGTTTTAGAGAGACCACGAAAAGAAGTTACCGCTAAGAATAATACACGAAAACTGTATGTAACGGTTTTATATATATATATATATATATATATATATATATATATATATATATATATATATACCAGCCGCAAGGTAGCACTTAACTTGTTGCATCCTTTCAAAAGGAAGAAAAAACAGAGCAGAGGATGAGAAAAAATGTAATCGCTAAAGGATATATAATGCAAATTCAAAAATAAATTACTTGATACCACCGAAATACAGAGAAAAGTAGACATGACAAAATGCATCTTAACTTATTGATACATAAATGATTATGTAGTGTTCATACAGTTGAGCAGTTCGAAACCTGTTATCAAACCATGTAACCCTTCATTTCCTGTGAATAATCGATCTGGAGTGGCTGACCGCAGTATGTTATTTATCAAATAACTAATCAATTATACTGTTATCAACGTATCATACGACTGAAAGAGAGAAATGAAAATGGCGGGAGATTTGCAAATCTATGTGCATTCAACAAATTGGTTATAGACAGCAAAGTATTCCCACACAGATGCATACACAAAGCTACATGGATCCCACTACATAGAGCCAGATAGATCATAATTGTATCAATAAAGAATGGATCTCTAACGAAACCCCGTACAAGATTCAAGAAAGAAAGATCAAGAAGACAGCAAATAACAACATGCGAACAAGAACAGCGGAAGTCAAGGCACAAGCTGAATACATAGAAGCAAACCAGCAAGTGAAGAAAAGTATCAGAGACGACCGGCCTGACGACGATTGTCAAAAATGATGCGACAAAAGGGATTATGAAACAACTATTTGATACAACGAAGACAATGATGAGGAGATATAGTAAATCTGAGGGACCGGTCAAGAACAAAGAAGCAAAGAAAATAACTAAGATTTAAAAGAAGAGGAATGATGAGTAGAACGCTTATTGCAACTCTTGAATAGACCAGTTCCACGAAACCACCGGACATGGAAGCTACACATACAAACCTTCCTATAGGTGCCACTCCATCAACGACCGAAGAAATCAGGATGGCCATTAGTCAAATCAACAGTGGGAAAGCAGCAGGACCTGAAAATATACCAGCTGAAGCACTGGATTCACACACAGAAGTAATTGCAAACATGCGCCACGTTCGATTCAGGAAGATTTTGGAGGAGGAACAAGTGCTGAACGACACCTCATCAAAATATCAAAGAAAGGAGATCTCAACAAATATCAAAACTACCGAGGCATCACACTAATTTCAGTACCAAGAAACGTTTTCAACAGTGTTGCTGAACCAGATGGAAGACTCAGTAGACGACCAACTTCGAGATCAATAGGCCGGATTATTTAAGGATCGGTCGTGCATAGACCAAATTGCGACACTACGGTTCGTCGTTGAACAATCAGTTGAATAGAACTCGTTACTTTACATCGACTCCCTGATTATGAGAAAGCATTTGACGGTGTGAATAGGAGAACATTATAGGATCTTCTTCGACACTATGGTGTACCTGAGAAAATCGTCAACATCATCCGGAATTCATACGACGGGACACAGTGTTAAGTCGTGCCTGGAGGAAAGCTCACAGACTCATCTAGAGTAAAGACCGGTGTCAGGCAAGGTTGCTTACTCTCACCCCTTCTCTCTCTCTCCTGGTCATCGACTGGATCATGAAGACACCAACATCTGGGGGGGAGTAAGCATGAGATACAGTGGACAGCTAGGATGCAGCTGGACGATCTAGACTTCACAGATGATCTGGCTTTTCTATCCCATACACACGAACAAATGCAGATAAAGACAACTAGTGTAGCAGCAGCCTCTGCATCAGTAGGCCTTAACATACACAAAGGAAAAGGCAAGATCCTCAAATACAACACTGAGAACACCAACAAAACCAATTACATTTGATGGCGAAAATCTGAAAAGCATCGTCGATGAATGTTGAGAATCTGATGCAGATGTATAGCGGAGGATAGGCAAATCAAGGGCAGCCTTGCTACAATTTAAGAACATATGGAACTCAAAACAACAATCAACCAATATCAAAGTCACAATCTTTAATAAGAACGTCCTAATGTGCGCGGAAAACTACTACAACCATCATCAAGAAGGTACAAGTATTTATATATAGTCGTCTACACAAGAAACTCAACATCATGTGGTCGGATACCATCAGCAACAGACTTCTGTGACAGAGGACAAACCGACTTTCAATTGAAAAAGAAATTAGGAAAAGTGGTTTGATGTGGATAAGACATACATACATACTTGGAATCCTGAAGTGAAGCGGTAAAGAGGAAGGCCAAAGAATCCATAACGTTGGGAAATAGAAGCAGATATGAATAACAACTGGAAAGGATTGTTCACGACAGGGTTGGATGGGGAGTGCTGGTGGGTGGCCTATGCTCCAACGCGAGGAGTACCAGGCGTAATGAAGTTAGTAAGTAACATGTCATGCGTTCACCAATGACTACAACCATATCAGTAAAACCATATTTCTCTCGTAAAAGACCACAATGTGGCCTCACAAACAAATCTAAATTCACATCATAAGCTGATTGTAGTCACTAATCTTTTCATCCTGGTATTTGAGATTCAGTAAGTTTGCAAAATGACCCTGTCAATGATAGAACCAAAAAAACTGACGTTACGTAGAGTGAGCTCAACGAGTAGATCACCGGCTGACACACATTTCCGCTTTAAATTAATTAGTGATATACCAAAGCAGTTAATGGTTGCTCCCCAGCTTACAATGGTATCCCAAGTAAATAAATTAAACATATCTTCATAAAAATTCTTCATCACTGTAATAATCATGAGCTCACTAGTTGAGAACCGGAAAAAGGAATCCTGGAGCCCTAGCAGGAAGTGGTAACCAGAATTAAACAATATCCGGAATGAAACAGTCAATACTCATGTTTTCGGATTAAAATTTCAAAAGTTGCACTCATCTAAAAACTATCCATTAAATATTATTAGTTAAACAATATTATAGAAAAAACTAAATAAAAGGAAAATGCAAAGCAGCAATCCGTACTAATAGTATACCATATCGTACGATGACGAACAAGAAAACACTATTCATAAACTGCTTTAGTTCTAAAATGAAATGACAACTTCATTTATCATATAAGCAAACTAAAAATCGAAATGTTTAAATAATACTTCAAAATATATTTAGATACACAGATAAATGATGTAAAAAATTCAGGTTAACATTTTCCACGAGTATAAAATAGCTCATTTTTCTTTAAACAACATTTATATTTACAACAGTTGGATACGTCAGTACAAATGTATTTAATATAGACAAACATACGGGAATTCTGCCATTGCATCTATATTGCAGTGTGTGGCAATCCGCAGTGATGCGAATTTGTACCAGACTTAATAATATCAACAACCAAACGATCAGATTTTTTTTTTACAATGATATGTTTCTATGACTAGGAAACAATTCGTGGCTAGAAATAAAACACTTTGGTTAAAATAACTTACTGCAGTTTCAAGATTTATTTCTCGTCGACTGAAGTGTAATAAACAAGTATGGGTACTGCTTGCAGTTAACAGTTTACGGGAATCCGAGCAGAAGTGCATAAAATGTATGGCAAGAGGATCGCTTTCAGTTGCTAATAAAATCGGAGAATATTGAGCATTGATATCTTTTGCATCAGAAAGTGAAGTACTGCCTGTTTCAACAGGATTAGATGTACCATTTGATGGGTTTGCAAACAACTTCGAAGTACGAAACTTATAGAGTGGCGTCAACGAAACTAGAAAAGATCAAAATAGAAAATTTGTTTTAAAAGGTTGTGAGCTTGAATTTGTGGATAACATATGATGAAAAGGCGAAACACGTCCACCATTAAATCTAAAGGCAATTAGTCATGTTGGAGAATTAAAAACACTATTTCATATTATCAAGTGAGTATCAAACTAATAACATCTGAGTTGAATAAAACACTGTTCTTTCAACAAAATTCCATGAGTATATGTTGAGCATCATCATAGTCAAAACCTTGAGGAGCCATACCTCTATATACATTCCAATAAAACCGCAATAGAAAGTAAACAGGCAATGTGTATTTTTTTTAAATCAACCATTCATGATTATGTACACAGCTCTATTTTATGAAAAGAAATTTGCCATTGAATGGAAACTAAATAGGCTGACGAGAACGTGTTAGTTACATCGAGGCAATGAAGTCCTTATACTAAGGTGTTTTGGATGAATGTGAACTTCATCCTTTATCCTAAACAAGAAAATAAACACTAGATATTAAATCACTTTTATTTAGTTGAAAACATGCAGAAGTTGACCAATATTAATGATCTTTGAGTTCCAATTTAGATTTGTAACACAACACCAGAAAATCTTTGACAACCAAGTACAAAATCGCATAATCAATCATGATATATTGTGTGAGCTAATGATAAAATCCGTTCTCAGGACAAAATCTGGTCTGACGAAACCTCGTTGCGAATTTAGAAGTGATTATATCATGTATCGATTCACGCGGTACTACTCTGAAGTCGTGAAACACATCAAAAGTAGAAAACATATAGACATAAGCTATAGTTGTGATCCAAAACTAGGTAACGACTACATCCGGTGAAGCCACCAAGTGATCATTATAGAGGACATATATACTGTTGGGAAAAGATGAATCGGTGGACGGAATTACAAGTTATCATCAAAGACCTTTATTAGGATTTACTCAAGCAAAATGTCTATCTCAACGTATCTGGTGTAGGGGTAATATGTAATAGTAATTTTTAAGTCATTGATTGGTATTCCGAATTATTTGACGAACTATAGTTATTAGTGGTTGGAGCGATAAAAGAAATTGTTGGTTCGAATACATTACAATACGTATAAAATGAAGTCCAGTAACTTGAATCACCTCAACTCATACAATGATTCTACTCGTTTGTCATGTTTTTCAATATAACTTAAAGTCACAGTTTCTGTGTCAAGAAAACTAGTACATGTGGTTTTAAAAGGGTAGTTATTCTACATTTGAGACGATATCTATTATTATGAATGACCACAGAATGAATGTTTCTCATTAATTAAAATGCGCGTTCGAGTACGTAAATAATTTTAGTCTGTCCGAAACTAATGATGATTCTTACTGCAAATACATTAATTTGTTTTACAAAATTAAATCGGAAAGGGCATTTTCAACTTCCACTACTATTTTATTGAAAAAAATGCTTGAGTGGAAAAGTGATAAATGGTAGTCATAGGTAGAGCGAGTAAACAGAAGCAATCAGTGTAGAAACGATTACAAAGAAATAGTGTTACATTGAAGAACAACGTAAGGTAAATAAAAATATAAACAAACCTTCGGATGCATCCCAAAATCGAACAGATCCATCAGCATGTCTACAAAATGCGCATAGCGAAAATGTGATAATTTGTTAGGGGCAGCTTATACAGAAAATAATAATGGATACAATGCCAGTTCTAATTAATAAACTAAAGCACTTAAGTACAGTATCTGAACCTGTCTAAAATCGTGGTATAATACTAATGGAAAAACATTTTATATGAATTCGAATGTAATCGTCTAATGTTTAGATATAGCTGTAACATACTGGAAGTCAATCAATATAATTTACACCTGTAGCCAATAATAGGTACTTTTCAAAGATGAATGCACATAATCCGTATTACATGGACAGTAACTTCTAGTCTTAAATGGTTGGGTAAATATTATCCATTTCAGTTTGTTCTATATAGAAAACATTGCTCTTAATTGGAAATAGTAAAATAGATGCAAGTGTTGAGACAATTAGTATTACGCGAAAACATTCAGCCACTAGAGATATACATGAAGAAATGATTTGTCTACTGACGATATTAATATGTTTTTTATACAGTGAAAAATAAAAGTGATATAATCCGTGTGGCTTTTGTTCACGAATCCATTCACACAACTATAATGTTATCTAACAAGTTGGTATGTTGCTCATTTATACCAGATTCTAATAATGTATACACTTCACTGAAACTAACTGATTATATCATTTATACTGTGAAAATAGACACCATTACCCACTCATTTCAGTCCATCAAAAATGAATAAGTGATTAGAACTGATTATTCACAGCAGAGCTGTCAATAAGCGGTAATTTATGTAAAGGTATACACCAAAAGGATATTTAAATGGTTTCCTTTACAATCAACTATTAACGATTGTTTACATAACCTTCTTTCATCAGTTTTGTAAACAAAGATACATGATAGATCTGAAAAATAAATATATTTTTCATCGAATAAAACTGAATAATTTTTGTCACATGCAGGACAAATGAAAAGCTTCACGACATTATTGAAAGAAGACTATATCCATAATGGATAGATGGCTTAATGATATACTTATTTTAATTATCATGAAACGAACTAACCTTTCTCACATACTTTTACTCTTCATAAGAGTAGAGATTTGATATTGGTGAACTCTCTGAGTAATTGACTTGAGTGATGGTACCTAATAATCAATTACTTTTATAAACACTATAATTCACAATCGAACCATTCGTAAACAGGAATATATGAAAATTACCAGAAACTGTGTACTGACTTATTCAGGATTCAAATTCTCAATGGGACAGTACTTAGTAGAAAATATTTTAGGGTGATAAAATCGTCATAACTGAGGAAAGAAGATTGAATCTACAGAATTTACTCAAATCGCAGAATAGTAATGGAGTTAGGAGCTCAAACAAGGTAACTACACTGATTTCCCTTCGTTATTATGCGTGTACACCAAACAGTGGAACAATTAATATAAAAATCAACAGAAAAATAACTGAATGCAATAAAGTATAATATTATTGATCAAATACCCCGTTATGATTAATTCGGGAACTTGTTGATTACTTAAGCGCCATTCTCCTCCAGTAATAGGCCATTCGCGACTGCTGAACACATCAGGTTCAGCACACGTGCCACTTTGAGTACGGTTCCGACGACTGCTAACAGAATAGAAAGCAGGTATCAAGTCTCCAGGACAATCAACTAAATATAAACAGCTGGTGACAGGAGAACTATGCAAATCCATTGGATATGGGTTTTCAAATGTTGCGAAGCTTCAAAATTAAAAACAAATATGTTAAATATTTCAAGCATATTCACAAGAATTTTAAAAGAAATCTGAAAGATACTCAGAAAAAAAATCAGTGTCCTTACTTTGTAGATAAGAGATCAATAACAACAAGATCTTCTTGTAATAATATGGCAACTGCATAAGGATCCATTGTCTCTGAAAAAAGAATAAGTATTAATATTACCGGTCAGAATGTAAACGTATTAGAAAAGATTTTGAATGCAGCTTCACATTAGATAGTGATTACTATGATAGCGTTTAATGTTTCGTCAGTACTGTTAAGTCCGAGTCTCCAGATATGTATCAACAGCTAATTAGATGTAATTATTGTCCACCTAATGAGTGAAAAATAAGATGAGACACACGGCTTATATTAACCGGTGGTCTTTACTAAGCACGTAGTTTAGATAATTAATCATGCGTATACAACCAGACAGAAAGCACTTAATTAAAAATACAACTTGATCTTAAACCTCGCTTTTTAAAAATACAAAGGAAAACTGAATATTTTGTAAAATTTTACTGATTAGAGACAATAATATTCGAACGAAATATATTTTACTCTGGTCATGTCTGCACGAAATAATTTAAGCTAAATATACAATTAAGTTTTTCCTAGCACGGTATAAAATCCCAAAGTTGATATTCAAAAATTTTCCTAGTTTTTTTACTGTATTTAAGTTGCCACATATCATTATGGCAGTAATTAAATTGTGAATAACTTGTGGTCGTTTCCTTGTATCTCGTAAGTACGCGTTTACAAGGATTTTATCAATACGGTTGTACCTTCTAGAGGAACCAAATATGATTTCAAAACAGTGGGGGACAAACATTATGCATTGTTAAATTACTTTTTTTCTTGTCTAACTAATAGAATAAGCAAAATGACTGCAAATCACAAATGTGAACAAATAACGTGACACTTCTAGTTAGTGTTCTTAACATTCTGATAGAATGATTCTTGGGACATTTTTATCCATAAAAGCCTTCGGAAAAATATATGTACGACAAAGCAAAACAGAAAATGCATCTCAAGAATAGATACTTTGATTCAAAAATAGCCCTCTGTATATAAGGTGTGATGTTGTTTTATTCCGATCTTACTTAGGGAAACGTATCTCGAGATATGGAATAAATAAGGATCAAGCAGTAAGGTTAAATAATAAACAAACATAATTTTCTAGCTCATATTTGTTTTTACTAAGCATAAATAAAACAGTATCATTAAGCAGTTTTGATAAATTAATTTTGTTTAACAAAAAAAATGAAAATGTCACCATCTACTGGTTTGCTTGAGCGACGATATTATATTAGTCAACTATACGGCAGTTTATGAAACAACTGTGCTCAAAGCAAATAGATCTGCAACTCGATTAAAACTTGGAATATCAGGTATCAGTCAGTCAGCAACAACGTAGGATCAGGCACATATATGCATCGGTCCAAGTTGCCATACCTCATTAGCACAACAAGATGAACACCGGATTAATAGAAGTGGTTAATTCAGTGGTGGTTATATGTAAAAGAAAGACTGTATATAAGGATGAAATACAGGAAGAAAGAATTAGTGGGCAGAAAGAAAGATATGGAGCGATTTTAATATGAGAGCGAAGTCGTACTGCTGACTGTACAGAGGTGTGACAGCAGTAAGGTGTTTCCTTCAGACAACCAGCATAACAGCGATGCTGCCTTCCCAAAAGGAGGGGAGGGGTTAGAAAAGGTCGACCCTAAAAATGCACACCTCGCCTTATCCCACGGATATCCGTCTCCGGCGGTAAGGTTTTAACAAGTACAGAACTAACACAAAAACTACTCATAAACAGGTCGTGTGTGACCGACCTCAAGCAGTTGTACCTTGGGCACTAATGTCACGCTTTCAGGTCACTAAGATCACCTCTAACCTAATTTCCTTTTCAGGTACCTCCAGAAAGAAAGCGGTTTTAATCCCATACTTTAAGTGAAGACAAAGAATGTATAAACCTACGCCATTGTGATCGATTCTGAACCATGTCACCATGAGTCTGCAACCATTGGTTACGATAGTCACGCCGATCCCAACCAAGTAGTCTGCATCTATTAACATGGCTCAGACTAGAAGTTAGTGACTTCAATGACTGAGCTACGTTTTGGTTTGGCCGCCCCTAAAAAATACCTATATAGCAATCTAATTTGGACCCAAATAAAATAGACAGCGAATTCAACCAATCAAAACCAATAGGAAGAGAATAAAAATGAGAAATCTATCACGTACCACTTGTGTAAGGAGACACACAAAGAGATGTAAATTGAACGAGTTTATGATCCAATTGTAAAACAACCAACTTTTTGCCTCTTTTGATAGTTAACATATGATTACTAGAAACCATACATGATGATGATGATAAATTTGGATCATTTTCAGATTGATCTGAATTAAGTAACGAAGTTGAGGAGACATTAGTAGTAGCTACTGGTGAATGAATGACAGTTTGAGCTCCAGAAGAACGTCCACCACCAGAAAAGATAATGAATGGTTCGCTAATGTAAAAAAGGATGTCAGGATTAATGACAAATTCAACACACTTGAAGATCCATGATGAAGATAACAAACATTTTATTACTCACATACTTTTACAAATGTGTGATATCTAGTAAGCTAGTATCAAAGGATGACCCTAGATAGAGTTGGCATCAACCGAAGACAATCTAAATTACGATAGATATCTACAAACGATTTCCTTTTTCTCTTATTGAAAAGACATTTCTTCTCATCAATAAATCTTTTTCCTATTTATTTTCAATGAATTTAAAACGTATATAACTTCAGTGTATTCTTTTGAAGTCAGTTTTCTGAAATGTAAATTGATCAACGTTTCTTTGCCTCAACATTTTGTATTATAGATAGGTGTATCAAATTGAACAAATTCAGAAACAAATAGCAACAAAATGAAATGGAAATCACATGAAACGCATTCATGTCTAAGTAATAAAATTTTGTGTTAAACACAGGGTAGTTTGTAATGTGACACATGCTAGGAATTTAATTTCTTTTTAAAATTTATTTACTAAATTCTTTATTTTATCTCATTATGTATAAGTGAAAAATATCAAAAGAAGTTATCGCAATTAATATATATTTGAGAAAGAAAAAACGAATTTTCCCAAGGGGTCGCTTTCATCTTACTTTCCTTGTATAAAAAATGGGGTGTTTTGTGGACAAAGTAGAAAGAATAAACAGCAGAAATAAGTGATTTGATATATATTGCAACAAAAAGAATGGGGTTTCACTGTTAGCATTATCTACGTTAACATATTCACATAAATATATATCTAGCTACCTTAAACTGAGATAAGTTAGCAGGAAACTCACACACAGAATGAAATATATACAGTATATGATACTGAATACATGCATACACAATTTAATACATATATGTACAAAAAGTAGTAGACGATCATAAGAGTGGATTAGTTTCCACAGTATTTCATCAGAAAAAGTAACATTATTAAACAACAACAACAACAACCCTGATAAAATAAGTAATATAGAAAAATAGTACAGAATGATAACAATTCAGTTGATATTTATGGAATTATAAAATACCATTTAGCTATAATGTGAAAATTAGACAAATTTGATTGCGAGTGAAAATAATAATATTCAATTTACCTAAAGCGAAAAAAACAGGGCTGACAAATACACTTTTTCCGTAGATATTACAAATAAACAAAAGTTTAGTACAGGAAACTGATACATATCCTTTTAAAATATATTCTAGCAAACTGATATTCTATTTATTTTACAGCATAATATACAAGGGAACAAGAGCTATGAAAAAGTGCATTTGACTGCCATAGAAACGTTTTAGAAATAATCATAATAGATGTTTTTTATCGTAAAGACATATAAGCTTACAATCAGTGTAACGATGATGATAAATGATTATTCTATGAACATTTATAATCAGCTGTTTTTAAAAAACTCTAAAGGAGATTTAGTGTAAAATGATCTAGTGGACATGTCAGTGAATGGGGAGATTTGGAAACCTGAGAATGTTGAGCTGAAATCATTACACGACTATAGGTAATTAAAATCTACACAAACGTACAATAGCAATCAGTAAGGCGAGAATTTAAAATTAATAACTCGATAAATAGTGTGCGATTTTTCCAACAACGAATAGCTCCATACAAGTACACAATAAAACATTGATGAAAAACTTTACATTTTAAAGTATGTAAAGAGAAATAATTAGCTCAATCCAAGTTTCTAGAAAAGAGATTAACATGCTTTCAAACAGCTTTGTAAATAAAGAATTAAAGGTGGTCTAAAGTAATCACTAAAGTATTGAATAAATGAAGCCGGATATTTGGTCGATAGGACCTGACACACATGACATTGATCACCACCCAGTGATCAATCAACTGTAAATGGAAGCCGGATTCGTACATGAACTGAATTTTGAGTAATTTAACTATGAGGTAAAAAATCTTTAATGTACAATTGCAAAGACACGTGTTCCAAATAGAGAAATCTCTAGCAGATGAAACAGTGAACATGAAATTTACAAAACTGAGTTTTTGTAATATTTCGGTTAATGCCTACATATTAAATAATTTTGGTGAATTCTGAGTATAGATGTAATAGACAGAAAATATGAAAAATAGAAAAATGAATGAAAAGCAACACTGACGGGCTATTATGAATTCAAAACATGGATCCTAATTTTTGTGAAGAAGACAAGCTGTGTTTTGGCTCGAATCAAGATTTCACGAGATGACTCTGCAATATGAAAGGCATTACAATCGACACATTCTAATACGTAAACATAATTCTGTATTGACAAAAAAGGAATCTTATCCTCTATACGAACGATAATGTTTCGAAGGGAGTTAGTTGTTTTGTAATATGCTTTAATTCTGTGTTGTTAGAAGAATCCTTGGAGTTCTTCTGTGGTACTATGGCGGCATGGTAAAACTACTGTAATCATCCATTGTATTTCATTCGAACTATTACTTAGCAGTAAATCGTCTCGTTTTATTGCAATTTTATTCATCTTTATAGGAAAATTATTAAATTACCCAAAGAGATGCACGCACATAATTGACGTGCTGAATAGAAGTCAATAGAAGGTTTCAAGTGAGTTAGTTTTCGGAAGATAATTAGATTAAGATATCCACTTAGATCTCTTTTAACTAAAAATGATATGTGACCGTGTTTAATTTTATGCTGGTAAGTAGATTTAATGTGGGATGAGAGTGCATTGATTAGTTTAGAAAAACATTCGTAGGAAAGGTGTTTTCACAACGATGAAATTACTATCCAGATATCTGAGACAAATTCGTAGTTCAATGTCATTTGTGAAAATATTTGATTCTATTTATGACATGAACAAATTAGGTACAATCGAAGACAAGAGGGTCTCATTGCCACTCATTTTGTTTGCTTGTATAACCACTATTTTTAACTTTTTTATAGAAAGAGAAAGTTATTATTCAAATATGTCGAAATGCCGACCAAAAAATAATGAATAGATTCAAAAAAGAAAAGAAAACCTTAACAATAAAGTCTAGTTTTAATGGTTGAATAATCGTTCATAATCTCTCATACAGAAAAGCAAGCGACCATGAAATCACTCTACAAGAGAAAGGATTAAATGTCAATTTTCATAGAAAACCACTTAGGACTCTAAAAATTGTTCGAATTCGAGAACCATTAATCGAACAACTGCCAGTAAGTCTCATTTACCACATCAAAAAAACATCCCATATTTTGACCAAACAAAAACATCTTACACCTAACATTTCATAAAACCTGAGAGCTCCACACTCATTTAAAAAAGATAGGACTGTTGTAATCACATGAGCTGACACAAGCAAAACACTAGCAGTCATGAATAAAAAGTATTATGATACTAAATCTTTTGCGCATCTATCCATAGACCCTGAAACAAATGTCCACTGGTTTATGTTGCCAAATCAAATTAAAACGACGAGACGAAGTCAGAAAAATAAATAGCAAAGGAATCAAAATAATATAATAGCAATGATAGTCAACGATTCACTAGTAAGACATAAAGTGTGACAGATTAAGTTTTTATTTATTTGTCATTAATGGATTTATTCCATATTATATTTTTGGTACAATGCAGAAGTCTCAGCAAAAAGTATTGCAACAAGCTTATTTTACAGAACAAAAAGCCAATAAGTGCATACATGTATACATATGTAAATCAGCCTTCTGGAATTAAATGAAATGTTTATTAAAATGATTTTCAATTAGAAGCATGTTTAGGAATACAAGTTATTGAGTAGGTCAGTTCTAACAATCTGTTTGTAGCAGAGTATATTTGCCAGATAAAGTATCGTACAGCTTTCATATTTTTACACACATGTATGGATTCTAGCGTATTGACGTCTCGTTCTACCAGAAGATATACTAGGAGAAAGATGTGAATAAAGTGGATAGTTAGTATCTGATAAAATAACACCTCCCAGGAGTTTGCAAGATTTTAGATGTCTATCTACAACCATAATAATAATAACCTCAAAAGATTCACCACACATCTTGTTAACTGCGTTCAGAGCTCTCTGCAATACAGCAAAATCTTTTTCTCAAAACCACGGAGAAGATTAACGAAGAACAGTAAAGAATAATAGGTAATATGCAAGAATCGACTATTTTAAGAGTAAATTTCGAGTAATCTCGAAAACATGCAGCCTCTTTATGTAGTAAGTCAGATGGAAAACTTTCTTCGATAACAATAAAACATGAGAAGAGCAAGAGAGATCAGAGGAAAAAGTAACACCAAGATAACTGAACATCGACACTGTTTATCAAAGAATCTTCAATAGTACAAACATTATGGGATTTCAACAGAGTGTTTAGGTGCTGTTCATGTCACAGGTAAAGGTTAAAAGTTTGACATTTAAACAGATTAAGTATGAGACCGTTAACAACAGGCCATTATTCAATACGATGTAAAGATGTAGAAATCGGCATACACAGTGAGATCGACCGCATATTTCACAAGTGTTTTCTGTGGAAGATGACAGACCATGAAGAAAAAAGGTGAAAGAACAGCCCCATGTAGCACACTATGAGACAGTAGAGACGTTGAACACTTTCCTCCAAACACAGTGTACTGTTTTCTTCCACAGAGGTAGGAACACAGCCAGTTGGTTATCCAGCTTTCAATGTTGACGCTGATTAACTTGTTAAATAAAAGTTGTCTTGGGGTAGGATCAAAAGCAGAAGTATAGTCCAGAAAAGCGGATCAAATATAATTCTTACATTTTTGCAAGCTGAACACTATGTTATGATGCAGAACAACAGGATCCTTGTAAGCAAACTGATCAGTGTGTTCTTTTAATGCAGGTTGAATTGGGAGTATCAACAATATGTTCTACTGTTTTGAGAGGAGATGAAGTGATTGCTATGGATCTAAATTTCACATTTTTATGTATGGGGATTATCTTTCTCCACAACTTCGGTATGAGATTAGTTGCGAAGGGTCAGTTAAAGATGCTCGTGAATG